GGGTCGGCCGGGGAGAAATCCCAGCGGGCGGTCAGAGCCCAGGGAAGGAAGGGGGGCAGGTCCAGCCAGGGCCTGGCTCAAGGCAAAACCTGCCAGAGGCACAGCTTCCCGTGTCCTCTGGAAGCTTTCCAAACGCCGAAGGCTGAGATGTGATAAGTAAATAGCACTTGACCTTCCCCGCCCCCGACAGGTACTGGATAGCTGCATGCCAAGGTACCTGTGCAAAAATTAGTTCTACCTAAATTCTAAATAATTCTAAATAATTCTGAGTTTCTTGAATTCAGAGTAACTGTTTGTGGGGAGTGTATATTTTTTGACCTTTTACAAAAAGGGTCTTGGATCCATTCTTGTTAAGTCTAGGTTTTCATATCCAATATATATTTGTTTCATATGTAATTTATTTTTTTTTTAATTATGGGGGAGGCAGGAAACTTGGGAAATGGGACCAATATGTTCCCAACATCTGCCTGCCCAAATAACTTTCAAATCCATCTTGTCAGGTTCAACCAGGCTCCACAGCAGCGTGTCACAGAGTTCAGCTTTCTATAAGCAACATTTTGGTAGGTAGGGGAAAAAGAGGCAGTCCAGATTATTCCCTTGTTGGGAAGTACGGGCACAGCAGCTGTAAGTTGGTTCTAGCGAGCTGTCAGACCATCAGAATGTTTGGAGCAGGGAAGCAAACCTTTGTGTACCGTAGTGAGCAGCTGTGTCTGTAAACAGAAGGGTTTGGTTCTGAGTAGCCAGTGTGAATGTGGTTTACTGAGTGTGTGATTTACTGCATATGTGGGTTACATTTTTGGGGGACTAATCGTGGTCTGGTTCTACAGACTGAATTCTTCTTGAGACTATATATTTGAATTTAGTGTGATCCAAAGCAGATCTGGTTTGTCTAGGTTGCTCTCCAAAGCAACCTAAGGCACAGTAAGTGAGGATGGGTAGAAGGATCGCTTCAAAACCTGCTCCTGAGCTGAGCTGAGCTGAGCGCACTGATTTAGGTACACCAGCTTCTTGCCACTCATGAGGAATGTATGAAGGGGAAGTCCTTGGGAGAACTTGGAATAAAAGGAATTGGATGTATTGCTGTTGTCAAGAATAGAATTTGGGGATGTTAAGAAGGGAGGTGGTGTTGCTGTGGAATAATGGCAGGGATAATGCCAGTATGTAGAAATAAGACACATCTCTTGAGGCAGTGAAGTTTCCATAAATTTGTTCTCCCCTCCACAAGAGAGTGCCATTCAGGTTTGCATATGGTCACTTGGTGCAAATTTTATTTATTTATTTACTTGCTTATTTTTAAAGAGGCATAGTCATATTCTCAAATATAGATACCGTTCTTTGTACAAGTTATTGGCAATTGCAGATTTTTGACTTGGGATTCTTTTGAGCTTCCAAGTATTTTATGATATGCAAGGAATACTTGAATGGATCTATTGCATGGGTTCTCAAGTAGCCAGTGGTAGTATTTTTATGAAGTGATGGGATTCTGCATCTCTAAAATGGTAACAGAATTGAGCTCATCATGATTTGAGACTGCTCAGGTAAACAACTCCTCCAAGTTGCTCCTCAAACAAGAGGAGTAACTTGGGTTTGTATGGAAATGCTAATTTGGTGGTGTTTAACCGAGGCTATATAATGCTGCTGGCAGAAGAGAGGAGTACCCAGTTTCCATTTGATTCCGTGGAAGTTAATGTTGATTAATAGCTCACTCGAAGCCGGAAACAAGTGAGCTGGATGTAGCAAACTTAGCCTGCTGTGATTATGTGTGAAACGAGGCATCCTGAATTCAGTTCAGATGGATTGCTCATTGAGAAAGTCGGGTAAAGAAACTGCTCTGTGGTGCGTGCTGGCCTGTAATGCCGTACGAGCTCCAGGAGCTCAAAATATCTGCCATTCTTTCTGCTTTTTAAACAGGCATTACTTTGCACTGCCCACCAATCCCGGGGAGCAGTTCTTCATGTTTTGCGCGCTCGCCGCTTGGCTGATCACGAAAGCGGGGCGTCCCTTCGAGCAGCCCCAGGAGTGCGATGACCCCAACGCAGTGATCTCGAACGTGCTCTCGGAACTGCGCTCCTTTGTAAGTTGTTGAGCAGGCTGATTTCCCAGGCGTGTGTCAAACGTGGGCATCGCCTTCAGAAAGAGCTGCAATCACACACTTCCTCTCCTTCCTGCTTCTGTTCGCAAGGACCAGACAGACCTCTCCTATTTATAAGTTTCTACTCTGTTACTTAGTTAACTGGAAGTTTATACAGTCTATACCTACTTGCTAATTTTTTTAGCACTGCAGAAAATGGTCTTATAATATTATATATGATTCCAATTACTTTTGTTCTACAAAATGGATTAAACTGGCTTTACTTTTTGTAGTGCCACATATGTTGCTCATTTATAGTAGCATAATTTACAGAGATTTTGTCTGGAAAGTTTACACAGTGCATATGATCCTGCTCCTGCCATAATCAATGGTATAGTTCACAGTGAAGGAAATGGTTTAGAATAGTGTTTGTGTTTTCTTCTTTTTTTTTTTGTTAATGAGTAAAAGGTTGTATAAACTGCCGGGAAGTATTGGGATTTTTTTTTCAATATTAAAAAAAGAAAAAAAACCAACAGAAACAAAGGTGAGGAGAATATATCAACTTACAGGAAGTATGATCTTAGGGAAGATTATACTGCAGTGGAGCTGTGAATGATGTTAAGACTATTCTCTAAAGGAGTTAAACCATAGCAAACTAATATTTTTATTCTACAGGATAGCAATAAATAAAAATATTTTATAAATAAAATCTGCAGCAAACAAGACAATGTTGAAAAACTGGTATTTAAGTCTCAGTACCGAAGTTTCTCCATAGCTGTTCTTACCTTGCCAGCTTGTCACTTGTGTGCTTGACCATCCATCTCTCTTGTGGCTTCTGACTCTTCTGCTCCCTATGAGTATCCTCGTTACCATGTGCTTTAAGATTTCTACACTGCATGTGTTCCTCGGGATGTTTTCTTTTCCCTTCTGTTGCCTGACTGGAGCTGTGTAAGGAAAGAATGTGAATTAACATTAATAAAATCTTCATACACAAGAGACACTTTGGTTTTAGTGTAAAAAAAATCTTATCTCCCTGTGAGGAAACTCGGATCAACGGGCCATTAATAAACAGCACATCTCTTTATTTTAGGGAAGGCCTGTGGATTTTCCTCCCTCAAAATTAAAGGCTGGTTGTGGAGAGCAAGTGTGCTATGTTCTTGATTGTTTAGCTGAAGAAGCCTTGAAACACACTGGCTTTAGCTGGAAAAGGTACAATACACTTTAGCATCCTCCCTTATGCATTGTTTTCCAGCAAACAGATGTAAGTTGTGAAGACAAAACATAGTAATGACTAAAAGTGTTTTACTTGACATTTCATGAGATGCAAAATTCAACTAGGCTTGAAGCACTGGGACCAATTAATTCCTAATGCAATTTCACACAACTCAGTCTATTACCAGTAAGCCTGAGTTTGGACCATTAATAGACTTAGCTAAT